ATTAGCCCTTGTTTTTATCCCTTAGGCTAAGTGGTTGTACAGCAAATTCTAAATGCAAATGTGTCTTGCTTTGTCTTTCTTTGAGCAGGACTGTTTCAGAATCTGAAGGACTGTTTCAGAACCTGTTTTGATATGTAATATAATATTGTGTACTATATAAAATATTCATATATAACTCACAATTTCATATATTACATATTTTACATATTTATATATAACTAATTAATATTAGCTATTATATAAATATTATATATATGGATGTATATATTCTACTGGCATAGTGGAGGACCTTTTGTGTTTCAGATGCTATGATGATAAATTTTCAAATGGGTTAAAAGTTACAGCATATCTTTGTTTCTGATATATAACAAATGAGTGAATTTCTAGAACTCTAAAATAAGACATTAAAAGAAAAGAAAATTAAATACATTCTTAAATTTTATGAGCTCAATATTAAAAGAGAAAAACAGAATAATCACGCATAAGCCGCTAAACTATTTTGTAAGCCAAATTTTCTTTCTTTGTAAATGAGAAAAGTTGGGGCTGTAGGACATCATTATTTCATTTCATTTCACAAACAGTCATCTTGTGGCTACCACATCAAAACTTTCTCACTGAACTCTGTCATTCCTGACTATTCCGTCTGAACATTTTAATGGCAAACCACTTGGGATTCTATTTACTAGACACCCCAAAAGAAGAAATTGTGTGGTCAGGTTTAACACTGAGTTTGTCTTACAAACACCCTCAACTCATAAATCTTAGTGGTCACATTTAAATTTACTGAAATCCTTCTAGTACCATTTTTTCTATACTTTATCTTGACCAGACAGTCTTAGTCTTACGAGGATTTCCAATAAGATATGCTGAGAATTCATTTCCTAAAATAAACTCTTACAAAAAAATTAAACAAAATGTATTATAAAAAAATGTAGCCCTTGCTAAATATATTTGAAATCAAATCTGATTTCTAAAAATCCTGAGAACTCACATTATTCAGTTTAGTACCATTAGGTTTGAGCTGGTAACTTGAGCACAAATATTTGAAAGTAAAGCTATAAAAATTCAAAACAGGTAGTGTTTTCATAAAGTAACTGTAGTGTCCACCACAGTTTAATGTATCACTACACAAGATTCATAAGTAACTTCGCTTTCAGAGTAAAGAAGGGACTTAGAAGAAAAGGATAAAAAAGGAAGCGCTTTCAAAGTCACCATCTACCTACCCCCATGTAATATTTACTGTTTAAGAATAAGAGAAGAGGTAAAAACTGTTCTTGGTTTTAGGAAAAGTTCTCATAAACTTTTCAGCCCAAATGTATTTTGTTCACATCTTAAGTTACAATCGTAATGTTTGAAGTTTAATATTTTAAAATGCTTTGCACACTCTTATAAAATTTTTTAATTTAAATTTTTATAGTTTTGTTTAATGCTAGTCTTAAAAACCATAGGCAATTTTGCAAGAAGAAGGCCATAGCAAGAATTTCAATCTCTGGTTTGGGGATTTCTTCCTGAGGGTTCAAAATTTATAATAGTATTTTAATTTAATTAGTTTCTGGAGATACAAAGCTTTATTTCTTCTGAATGTTGTATTACCTAGTTTACCACTAATCAGTTTCTTCCATAGCTACCATTGCATAAGTTTCCTGATCTACTTGCTTATCAGGTTTTGTAAATATCAATTCTTAATAAGGAAACATTTATGGTTGAAAGATAGCTGAATTGATCAAAGTTTTGCATTTTTCATACATAATTTTATTTTTTGATTTAAAGAAGATTGTGGGTAAGTTGTGCTTCACCATTTTCATAGGCCAACATATTTATGTGTAAACAGTGTCTGGTTCTTTGACATTTCTAGGTGAAGTTGATTATACTTTCCAAGCTATAATCAAGACTATTTATTTATTTATTTTTGAGACAGAGCTTCACTTTGTTGCACAGGTTAGAGTGCTGCAGTGTCATAGCTCACAGCAAGCTCAAACTCCTGGGCTTGAGCAATCCCCTTGGTCCCTCCTCCCAAATAGCTGGGACTACAGGTGTGCACCACAGTGCCTGGCTAATCCTTCCTTCCTTCTTTCCTTCCTTTTTTCTTTTTTAGTAGAGATGGGGGTCTCACTTTTGCTCAGGTTGGGCTTGATCTCCTAAGCTCAAGTGGTCCACCCACTTCTGCTTTCCAGCATGCTAGGACTGTAGGTGTGAGACACTACACTTGGCTTAACCAAAAATTTTAAATGAAAGTTATAATTAGTGATACTTTAGATGGCAATTCCCACTATTTTGAAAAAAATATTTTAAAATGGAGTTAAAATAGTATCGAATGTAAAATAGCAAGTCCCAGGAGACAGTACGATACCATCTTTAGAACGCTCAAAAGTAGCAAATTCTTTATTATGTGAGAAGTACATAAACTTGTGATAGAATAATTTTAAAACACATGAGCAAGAGTCAGGATAACTGTAACCCTAAGTGGTAAGCATGAGGATGGACAGGGGGATAGTGTACATTATAGTTACAAGTTACTGGGACACATACACACATGAATATTACTTAATTTTTAGGTTTAAGAAAACTAGAAAGTTAAGCTTGTTCATGAACAAATTTGTGATGAAAGTATAGGAAGTCCTCTCTTAGCTGGGGCAACATGTTGCCCTAAAAATATGGATAATTGTGTTCTTTGGTTTCTGCGTTTCACTTGATGAAAAATGCATATGATGCTACTTATTTGTCTGAGGTCTCCAATCACTAAACAGCATGCACATCTGTCTATTCTAATAATATATTTTGTTACTTCTTTTTTACTATTCAGCTTTTTAAACAGTGATAACATATTGAGACTAGTGGTTTTAGTTAATAAAGAGTGAAGGAAATCTCAGGTTATTCTGCTCGGATTCCTAGTTGGTGTTGCATGGTCAGACTTTCAGTGAATTAATGCATTATTCTTAATGGAACATTTTTAGGATTATGTTTTTGATTCCAGAAACTAGGTGTAAATAGATGCTGATCTCCATTAAATCATGTAGAAAAGGGGCCCTTCTTCCTAGTAAATCAATAGTGTGGAAATCAAAGGCAACTTTAATTACTAAAAGTGAGAGTTTGGGGGAAAACAATCTTATATCACTATTACACTGCAATTTGAAAAAAATAAGTATCTTCCATCATTGTCAGCAAGTTGGAATCAAATAGATTAGGAGATAAGGTTCAGGTTCAGATTGATTTAGCTTTATGAGACATTTTAAGCCCATTCTTCAACCATTAAGGAGAAAGGCTCACCAGAATGTATACTGGAATACATCTTTTTTTTCTTCCCTGCTGGATACAGACTAGTAAGCAAACTTTCCACTATAGTTGCTACAGGACAGTGCTTCTCATTCCTAGATATGTAAGTATTTGCCTTTATATAAAATAAAAAACTTCCTTTGGGGACCTGTGAGATACTGTTGGGATGGAGTATGGAAAAATAAAATCTACAAATCAGCTAATCTGAAACATAATTCCTAAGAGTCTGGTCTCAACTTAGGCGAGTCACTTGTGGTTAAAATAAAAGGCTCTACCCTTTTCAGATAGCCTACTTACTTCTGCTGATTCTAAATGTATAGATTTTGAATGAACATGTATAGCTACAAAATTAAAAAGTCTTTCAGAAGATACCTTGAAATGAAGTTAAATGTTATGGAAAATAATTGAGACAAGTAAAATTAACCTTGGACTCGATTCAATGAAATAAGCAACTAACAATGTTTTCATGCCCATGATTTTGACTTTTTGACTTTCAAAGGAAGAACAACGTTTACTATACCTGCCGTGGGGTTCTTTCTGATTTACTCCTACACCACTCCCAGTCTGAAAGGTCTGGTTTCTGACTCTCCTCATGAGACAGTCTCCTTTCTGGACCTTCAAAAACGGTGGTTTCTTCGTAGTCAGCATCACCTCCTGTTTTGTCAGAAAACACACCCTTTTCTTTGTCAGAATCCTGCTGAGCCTCTGTAATCTCAGTATTCGTGTATTTGTTGATGCCTTTTATTGCGGCGCTGTCCAAAGAGGCAGTGGTGCTGATTTCCACTTTGATGGCACTGAAGACATTACGGTTGTCTCTCTGAGAGTCCTTGGTGGCTTCACACTCATAGTTCGTCAGATTGTGATAGGATATAGAGTTTTCATCTTCATCATAGTAATCTTCATGGGCTATTTTATAAATCCCATAACTTTGTTGGAAAGACAGATTGAATTCAAAGCCTCTTCTCTTGGCTAAGTAAAAACAAAAATAAAATTCCATGTCTAGTAAGGTAGATACAAACAACAGTTGGATGAACATAGTGAATTAAGATAGGAACTGTATTCAACCTGATTATTATATAATAAAAGCTATCTTCATTTACTTCATATCAATTATCCAAAGCAATCATGACTCATAAGCTCAAATCATAGTATCATCCTGGGCTCATTTTTTTTTCTCACTTGAACAGTGAGGGTCTTGACATACATACAATTCCAAAAATGCTTTCAATTTTTAAAAGCAGTTTTTCATAACAAAAATTTAAACATAAATTAGTAAACTTTCAAATACATTGAGGTTTAGTTTTTTTAGCCTATATATTTTAGTTCTATACCTGTCTTTATTTGGGGGTTATATATATATATATTTGAGACAGAGTCTCACTATGTCACCCTCAGCAGAGTGCTGTGGAATTGAGGCTCACAGCAACCTCAAACTCTTGGGCTCAAGTGATTCTCTTTCCTCAGCCTCGAAGGTAGCTGGGACTATAGGTGCCTGCCACAATGCCTGGTATTTTTTGTTGCAGTTGTCATTGTTTGTTAGTTGGCCCAGGCCGGGTTCGAACCTGCCAACTTTGGTGTATGTGGCTGGCACAGTAACCACTGTGCTATGGGCACCAAGCCAAAAATATATTGTTTATAAATTTTATTTTGCTAGAAATTATTAGATATCTTTAACATAGTGTAAGTTATATCACCAGTAGATATAACTGCTTTAGTAATTTTGACATATATCATTTCTGACATTTATGTCTATAAATGCATACATTAAAAAATAATTATTAAACTTTTTACAATAACATGTGCCTTTATGATACAAATCAACTTATAACCAATCATAAAAAAAAGAGGATGAATTTGTATTTTTAGAATCTGAAGCCCTTTACAATGTCTACAAAGCTGATTCATTATAGGGTGAGTTTAGCAGGAATGCATAAAACTTCGTATAACTTAAATCAGGTGAAATATGATGATGTGCTAAATAGAGTATCACTGGTGCATATGAGGCAAGTCCTAGTAGAATAAGAAACAAGCAAGTAACAGAAAGTGATACAGTTTGTATGTGTGAACGTCATTAAATGCTAGTTCATTTCTACATGTTAAAAATAAGGTTATATCAAGGTGGTAGACAACATATAATTTAATGTTTTGTTTTCATTTTTTAATCATGGCTTATTTTGAAAAAAATTCCTACTTTGGTAGCTCTGTGTCTTATTGTCAGATACTTAGCTATCTTTGGTAGAAAATAATTTATGAAAAGCTATAAAGTTTCTATGGGAAAAATAGGTAAAATTTGATTCATTTTACAATACACCTCAGGGTTATTCACATGCTGATTCTATTACTGAAATGTTCCCAGAACCTATGATTTACAAACAAATTCCGCTGACTAGAAAATAGAATTTGTCAGTATCATTTATTATTGTTTGAGCCAGAACACAAACAAGAAAAATTTCAAGTCAAAGAAAACAGAAAAATAGCAATTGATGCTCACATTTTATATTTAAACATCTCAGCTATATTTCTACCTACCTTTTCTAGTAATATAGTCAAGTGAAATTAAATTAGGGCTTTTAAAATTTACTTTGGCAGCATGAAAAGTGAGGGAACTAAAAGGATGTTTTAATTATTGATAAGCTTCCTTTTCTCCAAATAAAGATATAAAGTGACACACTGTCAAGTCAGGACCATCAAGAAAATAAAAACTGTCATAAAATCCCAATTTTGTCATATCAAAATTGATGTCTAAGACTACATATTTCACATAAAGCAAAAATGAACAAGGTATTTAAAGGAAGATGCAGAATGAGTTAATAAAGACCCCGCCTCCATGTCATGAGATACAAAAGGCACTCTGAAATAAGCTATCAGAAGAAAGCAGGATTGCAATAGAGACCTTGACCTTGATGTGATGGAGCATCCAAGGCCAAATTATGCACATAGATTATTACAGCATTTAACACATCAACAGCCCTACAAAAAAAAAAACCTTACTGATCCTATTTTATAGTTGAGAAAACTAAGTTTGATAATGGAAACTTCCTAAAGATTACTTTGGCAAAAAGACTTAAATTTAAAGCTACCTTTTCAGAATTAAGAGTTATTTGCCACTTCGACCCATGAAAGAATATGGTTTTTTTTTTTTTTTTTGAGACAGAGCCTCAAGCTTTCCCCCTGGGTAGAGTGCCGTGGCATTACAGCTCACAGCAACCTCCAACTCCTGGGCTCAAGCGAGTCTCCTGCCTCCCCCTCCCAAGTAGCTGGGACCACAGGCACCCGCCACAACGCCCGGCTATTTTTGGTTGCAGCCATCATTGTTGTTTGGCGGGTCCGGGCTGGATTCGAACCCGCCACCTTAGGTGTACATGGCTGGTGCCTTAGCCGGTTGAGCTACAGGCGCTGAGCTGAAAGAATATGTTAATGGACCACAAATGACACAGATGTACTGTTTTTAATTCAGAGGAAGTACATTAATTATGAAATGTAACCAATAACAATGTTTCTTGTTACTGACTTTCCTTAACACTAAAGGTAAATTATTACAGAGTTGACTAATGACACCTGAGATAAGAGGTTAAAACAATATCATGGAGTTGATATTTGACTTGAGGCTGGTTGTAAAGGGGAAAAACCCTATAAAAACACATTTGAATGACATAATTAATAATCAAAACTGAGTTGAAGGAAATGTTAGAATCAGAGTCAAAATTGATCATCTTTTAGTTCCTTAATCATCTTTAAGTTGCTAGAGTGTTAAGACTCTGTCTTTTGTTTTTCCTTCTTTATTTACCAAAAATAGAAAAACTCAATTTCTATAGCGGCCAGTTCAGGCATGTCTGATAGCAAATGGGAAATCTCCTTCTTTACCTAAAGCAGGTTCCTGAGCTGCACTGAACTGTAGAGGAATTAGGGGCTGGGTTGTTACCTATGCTTTTTCAGAGAATCCAGACTCACAGATTTTGATGTACAATATCCTGATCTTAAAATGGTGGCCCATAATTAAAATCAGTTAAAAATAACTATGAAAATTGCTTTAAAAAACACACCCATCTTAGAGCTGAATTACATTCACAGGCCATGAGTTAGGAACTTGTGCTTCTATTGCCTGTCAGTGCTGTATGTATTGTGACCACTTCCCTACAAAATAGTTGTTGAGTGAGTGAGTGAAGGACTGAATGGAGCAACCTGTAGGAATCCTGCACGGGGTGATAGGAAGGGTTTGTCATGACAGTCTTGATTCAGTGATGCTGGCTGAATGGAATATGGCTTAAAAAGAATTGATATTTCTAAAAAAGTGGTTTATTTATTGATGAAAGGCCTTGCAGGTGGTAAGGGTTCCAACCCATATTTTATGTCACCAAAAAGCACGATAGTTGCATTGTTTTTAATCCATTTTTGTGTGTGTCAGTGAAAGTCAAGAGAGCTTTCATTGATTTAATAACTTGCGAGAAAACTTAAAGACTGTCCGGCCATTGTCCAGAATCTTTGAAATCCATACTACGCTTCTAAAAAAATAAACACAATGTTGTATTTTTTTCTCCAAGCAAATGCTTCACTGGACCAAAATGAAACATGAATTAGCTCTGGCCTTTTGTTTTTAGTCACATCTTGCCAGTTCCAGTTTTAGACTTGAGTAATTACATCAGCTCATAAAATGAATAATTCTTCAGAGTAATGTGTCACTTAGCAGATACTCTGATTTTGTCAAAAAATAGAAGCTTAAAATCCTATTTTTATATAAATATCTTAGTGTTAAGCATTTATTTAATTTAAAAAAGGAAACATCATGTCAGGCAAACAAGAAGAGTCTGCAAACAACATCCAGCCCCATACGTCAACCACCTGAGACCTCGGTGCTAATTCATCTTTAAAAAGAAAAAGTACTTTGTTTTGAGACATTAGTAATGGAGATTACTGTTGGAAACAGGAGAGGATTAATTATGGTTTCCACATTAAGGATTGACATTCATATTCCAGTTTGCCACGTGTCTCACTCAGTTCCTGTTCAGTGAAGCCAAGATCTTGAATTCTATTTACATCTGAAAAATTAATCTATGGTACATAAGAGGAAAAATATTTTTCCTTCTTTGCTTCTGTAATTCACTGATAAAGAACAAAAAGAAAGGAAATCTGAGTTTGTCAAGGAAAAGTGCTTAAATATAAAACTGAAACCATACTCCCAAAGAAAGTACTGTCATCCATCATACTCCTGGCCCACCTAAGGTTGAGCAAGCTTCAGGGTTTCAAACTTCTGTTGTTGTGTTATCTGAGCAATAGGAAAATTCATGGTGGCTTTCCAGACAGTGGAAGCACGTTATTCTCTTTCTCAGAATTTCCCAGTGACATAGCCTGGATTAAAGAGAGAATGGAGCTATTTGAACTATAAACATCTTACACTTAAGTTTCTCACAATGGTTTACTTTGGAAGCCATTACCCTTCCTGAAAGCCTTCATATTTCAGGCCTTTCTTTGGAATTTTGAAATTAAATGAAATTAAAGCAATAGTTTTAGAAAAAAATATTATTTCAATCTTAAAAGGCATTTTTTTTTAAATTTCAAAACATAATATTAACATGACTATTGATTCTGCTAGCCTGCCATACACTCTCCTATTTGTGCGGTACAGAGACAGACTATTTCGCAGGTCTTTAACATAATAGGTCTGTTACTTGCTTTGTTTTTACTCTGATATGGATGCTGTACATTTCTTGAAAATGACTGTCTTACACCACTTTACTGAGACTTTTCATTTTCATTGGCACCGGACTCTTGCTTTTCTCATCATCTTAGATATTGTAAGACAAAGTTGGCTCATTAGTAGAAAAGTGTTAAGATTTGTTAGACTTAGAGCTTCAGGCTTATGAACGATTGCTTTATGTTTACGTATTTGTAAGTGGCTCATAAGTGTTCATCACTAATTGTCTCTGTCACTGCTGCTCTGGATATTAATCTCCAGAGAGTGTCACCGTTATGAGTTCTGTGGCTATTTTAAATACAGATAAATTTGGCATCTGTTAACAATAAACTTTATGACATTCTTAATAATAAAAGATATTCTGGTTATTTAAAAAAAATCTAGATACTCTAAATTTTAAATGTCATTAATAGATGGAAAGTAGATAGTTCACAACTAGTATTTACAAAACATCCCTATTGTTAAATTGACTGTGGAATATACTTTGATATGCTCCAGATTTTACAACTCTAAAATAATGTGAGATAGACTGTTTTTACTTAAATGTTCTTCTGTTAAAGTATAATATATTTGCTTATTCTGAGCAAAGAACAATTAATGAGACGGTTAATTCATTATTCTTAAATTTGTTAAATGGTAGGACATCTATCATTTTTCTAGACTGATAAAGAAAATATCCTTTTCCTTTCTAGCAGAGTCACAAGGGACGGCTCACTCCTCAACTTTCCCTGTTTTAGAATCCGGGAACACTTACACTGTCCAGAGCTTTCAAACTGACCCTGCCTCTCTCTCCCATTCTAGGTGTGCTCTTTAGAACTTAGACTTTTAAAAAAGGTAAATAGTGTGGTTTGATTCATTCATATGTACGTGAACACACGAGGGCCCACTCTGCCACTTTGTCTTTTCTTGAAACCTAGGGATTGTTTTGTTCCTGTTTTTTTTGGTTTGTGGTGTGTGTGTGTTTCTAAGAGTGGAGGCTGACATTTGGGCCTGTCTTCAGTCTGTGTGATTACTTGCTCAGAGAACTTTTGAGTAAGCAGCAAATATTGAAACTGTGTTCCTTTACTGTCCCATTTAATAATAATGGGCAGTCACATAATGAGTTTTCTTCTTTTCAGAAAGTTAATAATTTTTGCAGAAACTAAAGTCATTAACTTTCTGCAATCTTAGGGCAATCAATGCCTTTCTCATTTGTAGATTTGGGAGGAGAACTAATTTCTACTTTGGGTTAAAAGCTACATAAACATAATATCTAAGTGCCTTTGTGGGCATGCTGTGTTGAATGAATTCTAGTTTCCATTTTACATAAAATAATTGATCAGTACCACAAGCAGTTCTTCACCGGATAGCTGAAAACCTGCCTCATTAAAAGCCTATTTCAACAGTGTACTAGCAGTCGTTTCAGGTTCTAGCATCTTCTTGCTATTTGCCATTTACTTTTGTCCTTAGTCTCCTCAGTCGGTAGTCAGGCAGCTTTCCCAATGGACCACTTTTCTGAATTTGACCGCGTGCACATGGTGCCCGAGCGCGCAGCATCACACTTACTTCTTGTCCCATCGGATGCCACCGCGCCTGCGTTCTGTCTGCAGTTGATGACGCAGCCACAGGGCAAGTGGGCCCAGCGTTTGGACAAGACAAACACTGGGGTCACAGTGGTGGCCAGCAGGCTGAGCAGGAAGCTGAGTGTCTCGAAGGGAAGGCTCTGAGCTCTCACCACGTGCTGGACCACCATGTGAATCTGCAAGGGGGAGCAGAATTCAGACCTGACCCCAAATCACAGTTTCCATTCCCCAAGCCTTTCCCCCTGCAGGCTGCCCCGGCCCCTATCCAGCCCCCTTTCCTGACTGAGAGCCAGAAGCTCTGCTTGTGGGCTGCTACCCTCATCTTTGGTCGCGGGCTCCTGGGCATTGGTGGGACAGACACACCCACCATGCCAGACCGCACAAGATGTGGTGGGGCTTCTGTTCTGGAGAGTCGTGTGTCTGAGCCCGCTGCCATTCAAGTCTCCACCAGGGAGGCATTGTCTGTGACCTGGGGGATGCTACCCGGGGACAGGCAGGCACCATGGGACCTGCACCGGGTACCCCCAGTGGCCTCTGTCACTTTCCCAGCTCCTCCCTCCTTTCCTCCCCTGCCCACCTGTCACAGCAAGCGCCACTTGGTCACTTCTCTTTCTGATCCAAAGCTGTTTTATCCCCTCTGCTCTCACTCCACATCTGCTGCTGCTCTCCCCTGCCTTTCCCTGCTAGGGGTGGGGATGTCTTTACCAGACAGGAATGAAGTGGAGAGAAAAGGATAGCAGAAGGGGGAAGCACCAACAAACCCTTCTTTTTATTCTCGCCCTCCTTTTCTTAATACTCAGATTTTGCTGTAAGTAACCATCCCCTTGGCCACCACAGAACTAAGAAAACTAAGTCGCCTGCGAAGAAAAGCACTCCCTACCCGTTCAAGTTTACCCGCCTGCCAACCACCTTCCTTCCAGTGAATCTCTAAAACACAGAGAGGTGGAAGCGAACTTAACCGCGCGCCTCTGGTTCACTCCCCAAACCAGCGGGGCTGGTTCCAACACGCACGCACACTGTCCCGCACACACACCCGCGCTTTCTGAACAACTGCGCTTTTACCATCATAGGCAGCCAGAGGGTGACTTTTGTCAGCGCTAGGATCAAAGCGAACCGCTTCTGTGCTACACTGATGGTGAAGCTCCTGGAGCCAAAGGGAGTCACCCTGTTCTCCCGCCTGCAGGCTCCAGCTCCGGCGGCAGCGGGCGCACCGGGTCCGAACACAGACTCGGAGCTCGGGGAACATCCCCCGGAGCATCGCAGAGCCGCGCCCGGAGCATCCTCTGGGGACGGGGAAAGCACTCTCCCCGCGGTAGGAGGGGTCCCGGGGGTGGAAGCTCCACGGGAAATTTCCTGATAGTTGGCGTGGAGTCGCAGCGGCTCCTCGGAACACAGCAACCGAAGAATGAGAGGAACAGAGAAGCCGGCGAGGAGTCCGAAAGCCGCAGCGTACACGGCGAAGAGCAGCAGCACGTAGGAGCTGGAGCAGTCTGCCCGGCAGCCCCAGGGCGTGCGCACGAAGGCGCCCCAGCCGCACAGCGGGAGCGCGGAGAGCAGCAGGCTGGCAGCCCACACCGACAGCGCCGCGCCGAGCACCTGGCCGGCTCTTCTGGACGCTGTCTGGCTCCCCACAGCTCTGTGCATCGTGTAAAAGTTGTACAAGACCAGGAGAGTCGCCTTCAAGTTGCTGGAGAGGCCCTGGCATAAATACAGTAAGGCAGAGACGGTGCACAGAGTCTGGAAGTTACCAGGGACCTCTTTTGGCCACTGCAAAAACATGAAGATGGTCACCGACAGGACGCTCAGGAGATCATCCACAGACCAGGAAGCCACGAGCATGGACACCACAGTTCTGTTCTGCATTTTCAGCAGGGAAACTAGTGAATAAATGCCGCCCGCCAGGGCTGCGAGAGTAATCAAACACGTCAGGCAAAAAAGATAGATATCCAGAGTTCCTGGTGGATTTAAAAGGTCCGTGGAATTATGGTTTTCTATCCACAGGCTAGAGTCATTGGTTGAGAAGTTACTGAGAAATAAAGACATCGTCCTTGGTCAATAATTAATTTTCCTTCTCAATGAATCTCATAATTTCCTCAATATAAAGCATGGCTGTTCCAAGTCAGATTTCATCTCTCCCACCAAGTTCCTCTCTAGATGTTCCCGAGGTCCATCCTGCAGGAAATGATGTCTCCTTTAGATCTCACTCAACCCATATTTAAAAATCGGGTTCCATTGCAAGCATCAGAAAGAATTTTCTCAACACTGCAGTTATTAAAAACAAACCCCAAACTCCCTCCCATTATCAAGTTTCAGGCAAACAAGGAAAAACTCTTCAGGTAGATAGAAAAACAATGCCGTCTGGATCCTTTTGGGTCCGTCTATGGAGCAAAGCAGCTTGTAGCTTGAAACAATCAAACTGTATACACTTTTAAGATCAGAAAAATGATGCATTTAGTTGCAGAGCTCGATTCACAGGCAGAGACATTGTCAGGTAGGTTTCAGCTCTGAAGGCTGAGAGAGAGAGAGAGAGGGAGAGCGTGTGAGTGCCAGTCAGAGGGAGCCGGAATACCGGCTCCAATATGAACCGTTGTGTTCTTCAATCAGCTGCAATTCTGGATCCTCAGAGCTGCAGGAAGGAGGAGTCAGCTCTAAGCAGGAGAAAAGCAGGAAAAAAAGGGAGGGCAATTCAGTGTGTGAGGAAAATGATGTGTGTGTGTGTTCTCAGCCTGCCTCATTCAAAGCATGGACTAGTGTCCTTACTAAGCTGCTGCTTTGGTTTTGATTTGCTCAGGCTTTATGTGAACTACCAATGTCACCTTTGAGAGGTCTAAGCTACTCGAATCACTTAAGGGGCTGTGTTTATCCTTATCCAGACTTTCCTGCTTCATAAGCTTTTTTTTTTTTTTTTTAAAGAAAATACTGTACTTAAGGATGTCATTATGGCCCTCATTACACTAAACAGGATTATGCAGAATATTTGAGTAAAGTCACAGGAACATTAGACATTGGTTTATAACTGTTGTCTGTCAATGTCATCTAATAAGCAGGGTGTCATTTGAATAACTATTTCTAATTGTTTATAAGGTCAGATGACATTGTATAGGGCTTAAAAGGAAAGTCAACCCACAGAAAACATTTTTACCAGAGTACTTGGGGTATTGGGTACCATAGTTGCGTCTCTGAATTGCCAGTTTTGAATAGTTATAATTTAGCAACTAAGTAACTAACAACAGTACCTCTGGCTTGGCGTTCCCGGGATTGTTTAGGGTAGCATTCCTCCTTATGAGGTGACGGCTGCCTTCTCCCACAAGGTCCCGGAGATCTGAATGGGGGAAGGGAAAGGGGAAAATTGATAGGCTATTTATTTAAATAGATGAACGTGGCTATAGAAGTGTGATCATTCCTTTTCATTTTATTATAAAAATTGAAATTGGGCGGCGTCTGTGGCTCAAATGGGTAGGGTGCCGGCCCCATATACTGGAGGTGGCAGGTTCAAAACCAGCCCTGGCCAAAAAAAAAAAAAAGAAAGAAAGAAAGAAATAACTGGAATTACCATGTTTTGAACATGAATCTGTTCAAATGCAAAATGATTGCATTAGTCATTGCCAGCCACACCCTGCAATGAACACCGCAGGTGGTTTACTTGTCTTGACATGTTTATTGTCTAATTTCCCCTTTGACTCAGCAAATGGAAACAAAACCCGCAAGTAAAACACTAACTCAGCACTCTAGCTCTCCCTACGGATAGATCCTGCCATACTATGTGACTAAGAAGAGGCTGGGGGTACATTTATCCAAAAATAATGTTGATTAAGTAAACACAATGAAAAACTGAGCTTATTTTTGAAGATTTTAAGTTATGTGGCACGCCATTCTGCCTTTTCATACAGACCTTATTCTTTCTTGCCATGGCAAAAGTCTTATTCTTCAAGATGGCATCTGATTTTGGATTTTCAGTTAGGTTGGGCAAAAAGTCTCACATTGTCAAGATACAATGGATAGGAATTAATAGCTATTTCAGGCCTGAGAACATGTCTCCTTTTATTGCCACCATTTCTGGGTTTTCCATTTAAATGTAGATTTGGAACAGGGACACATACCCACCAAGTGGCACTGGTCTTTCGGATATTGAAGAAAAGACAAGAGTGTTTACTACAGTCCAAATGTTGGCAGTAGCAGTGTGGCCGGTAGGGAGTTAGGAGATGCATCTGGATTTGACTACAGACTTTGCTATTGTTGGACAGGTAACCTAGGACAAAAAATTATACTTTCTCTGGCTGTTTCTGCATAGTAAAATAAAAGGGTGTCAGTCTGTTTTGTGTTTCTATAACAAAATACCAAAGATTGGGAAGTTTTTAAAGAAAACAAGTTAATTGCTCACAGTTCTGGAGGCAGGGAGATCCAATATCAAAGTGCCAGCATCTCGCAAGGGCCTTCTTGCTGTGTCATCTCATGGTGGAATTTAGAAGGGCAAGAGAGTATGTGTTTGTGTAAGGGGGAGAGCAAGCGGGTAGGGTGCTGACCTCACTTTTACAGCAAGCCCACTCTCTCCGTAACTAACCCATTCCTCAGACAATGAAATTAATCTAATTGTGAAGTCAGACTTCTTAGGATATTACTACCTCTCCACCTCCCTACACTGTTGCACTGGGGATTAAGTTTGTAACATATGAACTTTCGGGTCACATTCAAACTATAGCAAAGGATTTGGCTGGGTTACTTTTAGGGTCTTTCCAATCATAAAATTAAATGATACAGTTTTTTTAGAAGTTTAGGTTAATTTTGTCTTAATTTTTTTCTGTTTGTGTTGCAATAATCAATATTATTCTCTATTAAAACATGCAAGCCTATAGGAGCTGAAGCTTGGATTCTACATGCTTTCTCTTCCTTTATGATAGCGTGGAAGCTCTTGTCAATATGAACAAGGTATAAAATTCAAGAAGCCTAGAATACTGAGCCCCCTGAGGGATTATAGCTCCCCTGGAGATCTGTGGGAACCCATGCTAAATTTTGTGTGAATGGGAAGTAAAATTTGTTGTATAAGTCACTGAATTTGGGGAGGTCCATTGTTATTGTAACTATAAATCTGGCTCAATTTTTATGTAACAAAGTTGTGAGTGTTTTTTCAGTTGCCATAATACCCAGGTTGAAGACAATGTAACCTGAGCATTCCCAGACAAACCAAGCTTAAAACCACTGACAAAAGAACCTAAGGGCTTGGACTGAGGAGCAAGGACTGAATTAAGAAGTGGATGCCTCATTGCAAGACCCAAGGTCCAATCAGATCAAGCCTTGGCAGCACAGCACAGCAGGATCCAATCAGATCAACTTCCCGCTATCTCTTCATTGCAAGATCCAATCACATCATGCCTCATTAACCTACGCTTATAAAACCTGACCCAGGACGCAGCTTGAGAAGACAGATTTGCTTTTTTTCTCCTCTTTGCCTGTTGACTTTTCTCAAAGGCCAAATCCATGATATTTACTTCTATGTACATCACGCAACAATCCCATTGATTGCTTGGTGACACCAGCCCATTTAATATGGTTAAGTATAATTATCCCCCCATTTCATTGATGAGAAAACAGAGGCACAGACCGGCGTGGTGACTCAGGCCTGTAATCCTAGCACTCTGGGAGGCCAAGGTGGGTGGAATGCTTGAGCTCAGGAGTTCAAGACCAGCCTGAGCAAAAGTGAGACCCTGTTTCTACTAATAAAATAGAAAAACTGAGGCAAGAGGATCGCTTGACCCCAAGAATTGGAGGTTGCTGTGAGCTATGATGCCACGATGGCACTCTACCCAAGGCAACAGCTTGAGACTCTGCCTCAAAAAAGAAAGAAAGAAAGAAAGAAAGAAAGAAAGAAAGAAAGCAAGCAAGCAGAGGCACAGAGAGATTGAATGATTTGCCTAAAGTCCCACATTGAGTAAGTGTTGGAGTCAGATTTTAAAATTATAGTAAGTCTTCTGCTGTGCACAGACACATTTTCTAATAACTTCCTCTTAGCACTTTATTTTTGAAAATACCTCCAATGGATGTTGATATATATCTTTTTGCTTTCCTTTCCCCCCAAAAAACAAATGCTTGCAATGTCTCATTTTATAGAAATTTTAATTTACAATATTTTACAGAACTTCGTTTTATAATGCATTATATATACACGTATGCACCTTAGAACATATAAATATATGTATATTTTATAATGCATTATGTATTATAAAACATAAAGGTTGGTAAAAGGTTGTATTTTGAGCTTACAAATATTATTTATATATGAGTAATAAGTTCCTTGAACATTTTAAAACCTCCCTTTAGCCATAATTCCATTTTCTTTAAAAACATCCTCTTGAGAAAAAATATTACTCCAAATGTCTTTCAACTCAGATAACTTGTAGGAGACTAGGAAGAAAGATTTCTAAGACTTTTGTGTCTTAAAAAGAAATTTACTCTGTTCCTATGAGTAAGCTTTATTCCTGCCTTTTCTAAGACAGGGTTTTTAAAAAAATCTATGATAGAGCTTTATGTTCTCAATTATTTTAAGTTCTATTTTCAAATTAATTAATAATGAAAATTTATATTGACTTAAATAGAAGTGTTTTATATCCTACTGCTTTTGGGGGTACTTTTAAACATGTGCTATATGTTTAAAACATATACTGCATATAACATAGCATTACCAACTATTAAAGAACCTACGGAGTGTTAAATTACAGAAATTTAACAAAAAAATGCAGAGAATTTAAAAAATCTACAGAGAATTATATGACAATAATTCCATTAGGGTTTTAGTTTATGAAGTCCTTGATGCAGTAATACCTTTGGAAAACACTGTAGATAATTTTTTTCTCTACAAGTCCACAGAACATCTGAAAATTCTCAAGAAATAGGAAACACGATAAAAAGTTTTAGTTGAATGTTGTGAAATAACATTTTTAGCAGTGTAGCTTTGACAATAAAAACACAGCCACAGAACCAAGTAAAAATATTTAGTCTTATTTAAAAAAATAAAAAAAGGATCATAGGTACAGTTAGCTATGAAGGTATAATATTTTTCTCTTTCTAGAAATGTAGTGTATGTGCCCAAAATATTTTAGAGTACTGTCTTGGATTAATACTCTTGCTAACTCATCATTAACTCTAAAG